ATCAAAACGTTATCAAACGTTATTATATATATATAAGCTTTTCTAGAAAATGCAGTGTTGAAAAATACACGTAAGTCGTTATTTAAAACTAAGATAACATTAACGAATTAACACATGAACTACTATTGCGTCGGTACATTTTTCCGCTCACCGAAATCCGGTCAACAACATTACAAATCTATTTCCTATCAGTTTTTCTACTCGCAGATAAAATGTATTAAAATGTACTTCTGGCAGAATAATAAGAGAGTAAATTTGCATTTATACAAAAAATATTTTATTTGAATTATAATATTTTAACTGAAAAGATATATTTTATAAAGATAAAAATTTATACGAATTCGGAGTATTTCATGTGATATAAAGATTATCGTGAATAATTTTAAATGCAGTCGTAATAAATATTGATTTCAATAATATTTTATATGAAGTAAATGTAAAGTGGAATGTTTTTTTCAATAAGTATTGCGATTGGATATGCATTATAATGAGAGACGTACAGACGTAGATAATTGTATCGAGTTCTTCGGTGAGCTTACAACATGTCTAGAATGGCGTAATTTTACGACCTGCACGATAGTCGTTACAGTTAGATTAATTGCTGTGGTTATTGAGTAATCTTTATATTTGGATTGTGTCATCGAGACTTGATTGTTACAGTATAACATTATATATCAAGAATTTAGATTGTTACCACATCATAACTTATGCATCGTAATTATAAAGAGGAATTATTTGAATTAATGTGGATAAGAGAAATATTGTTGCAGCATGGAGTTTTCTGTTGCTGATCCGTTCACTTTATCAGCAATTTTTCACGATAATAAAAGTCGTGATATATTAGAATTTAATTGAAGCTCGATTCCAGAAGTCATCAATGATAGAATTATCATTGATTTATAATAATCGCAACACGCGCAGCGCAAAATCACTGCAGCACCCGAAAGAGAGAGAAAGAGAGAGAAAATTTGTTTGCGTAATTACTCATCTTACGAACTTAATGAATCAGTATCTGAATGAATGGATGTTGCGTGGGTGCGAGAGAGAGTGCGTACTTAAAGCGTCCCCCGCGAGGGAAAGATTCGCCCGTCAATTTATCTCGAATACGAACTTGTGTACAACATTTATCGATATCGACCCGTTATCGTCAAACATAATACGCGGGATTCGCGTATCCGGAATATGTATATACATATGTGTTTTTATGCGCGAACTTTGAACTACAAATTCGAGCAACTCTTTTCTGGACGTTTGTTACAAGTTTTTCGAAGCGTTTCAAAAATACATATCTTTATTCCTGAACTTCCGATCATTATGTACATTATGCAAATAATTTTTTTCCCTTTCGGATATTGAATTCGACGCGCGCGATGATAGCTATTCGCAGGAGAAACCCACCACCCGCGCGTTCCTGCACTGTCACCGGAGTTGATGATCTCTCGCTATCCTCGTCTGTGATTTCAGTCGGCCGGACACGATGGCATCTGGCGGTTAAAAATATTTCTTCCGCGGACGTGCCGCAGGCGCGCGCTTTTTGTTCGGTCTCCTCGGGAGAGGCGCGGATATAGTCGCGAATCTGTGCGCTTCGCAAAGTAATTATGCCGGGCGGGAAGTCTAGGGACAGAAATACTTCGCGTACCGAGAGCGCGGTGAGCGTTTGCGCCGCAACAACGGTGAGCCGCGACGACACGACGACGACGACGACGACGACGACGAGCGGCGCGCGTTGCGTGTGTATACGTGAACGCGTACAATGTCGACGCGTAGACAATAGAAATAGAAAAGTGACGCGATATACTCGGGGTATATTCGGGAAGAGAGAGGTACAGGAAGGGAGAGCAACGGACTCTCAAGCGAGATTTCTTCGCCCGATCGCCGTACACTGACTGATTTGCGACGACTGACAATTGTGACCTATGAGATTGTTATCTGGCACATCATACGTCGCTGTGCCGTAAACATATCTTTGCTAAATATGCGCCATGTTATTTGTTTCACAAGCGTGCCAAGCTTAATTTTAATTTGGAAGATTGGTAAAAATACAAAAGCATGTATCTTCTTTTTTTAGAAATTCATATTTTAAGATGTTACAGTATTACACAATTTTTTATCAAAACACAGAGTGCTTTTTATTTATTTGAAAAAAAAATGGAATTTTGACTTTACACCTTTTTATCACAATGGCTTACGGTATGATAATTAACGATAATTCATAATTTTTGCATTTTGAAGAGAACAAAGAAATATTAAATTCTTTATAAAATTTTCGATCACATTGCAGATGAGCAATTCGGCACTCCCTGGCTTTATCGCATCTGTGGGGTCATACAATGAACGATGGACTTTCGACTAATCGTAAAACGACTAGTCTTCTTCCCGATTGAATGGGACGCGTGTCTCGTCGAAATTTGATGACCCGCGTATTCCGATTTATTGTACTTGGATCTTTGTATGATCGTGTGTATGGCGCTGCTCTGGTCGAGACATCACGCTCGCGACACATGCGCTCGTAGTAAACAGAGCACGTGGTCTTTGGCGAGCCCCAATCCGCCGCGATTTGCGATTCGCGCGAAGGCACGTGTGCACCCGCATCGCCAAGCGGCCGCACGCGTATGCGTAATTCCCTCGCGGGCATATCTCGCGCGAGCTCCCGCAAAAGTGCAAAAAGTGCATCGAAGATGTATGCAACAATTATTATGCCGACAATAATCGCCATTGCACACACATTGTAATACCCGCACACTTGGCGCAGTACATTATCAGCGCCCCCACTATTTTTCTCGTTTGTGATTTGCATAATAGGCGGTAATATGTATCAAGTGCGGAGCAGATATATCAACATAATAATTCTGATTTTTTCGATACCGCGCCTATTGATGAGATAATTCGATACGCAAGAATTAAAAACGGTATTATACTCTGTTTTTCCTTCTTTTTTTTTAATTCTGTGCATAATAACAATTTTATATATACTTTTTTTTAAGACACGATTTGAGATAGATTCGTGCATAAATAATAGAATTAATGCTGAGAATTAAATATTAATATTGATGAGAAAATATTAATATTGACATTGATCTGTCTGCAAAGATTTGATCGATCTATATCGCGGATTGAGGAATCATAGATTCCGACACCGTTACGCAACACGTTTCTCACACAAATATTATCTTTATCTTCACAAATATTATCTTTGTCAAAAACTGACTCGCGGAAACAAGAACCGAACTATCTTTAAATAAGACAATTTTATTTTAAGGAGACTATTTTTTTCGTAATATATATTAATGGTTAAAAATATTAATATTGTTCAAGACGCGTTAATTTGGCTCCCGGAGATTAAATGATGGATAATCCAAATCAACACATACAATTATAGATACCGTTTATATTTGATCTGAAGGATTAATGTTCGGAATCAATCTTTGATCGATCAATCTGCATATATTGTGGGGGTGGATTGCTCGCATAACTCTCGGATGATCTTTACGCAACGCATTATATAAATATTATCTTTATCCTTGCGATACAGTTAGCAGCGTCGAAAACGATGACCGATGACAGTCTCACTGTCATTATTTATTTCATAACTTTACTATACATTGCTCTCGTGTTCCGAGAAGATGCGCGCGACATTCTCAGCGTCGTAAATCGTTCTCCATTATGTGACTAACAAATGTCCGTGTAACGCGCAGCAATAAATCACCCCTTGTAATTATATACATCACAGAGGGACGATTTCGAACGCAAAGTGACATATAAAGCGCGCTTTCTCGAGTTGAAAAGTCGTTTACGCTTAAAAGTTATTACCTCTGACGTATAATGTTATATGCACTTCCATTTTGCATGTCAATCGTGCAGTTTAAAAATATAGGTCAAATGCGCTAATGAAAGATATCATCGATGCGCCGTATAAAATGCACGATTTTGTTATAAGAGGAATTAATGCAAATTTTACTTGCTCAACACGCGATATACGGCATTAATTTGAAGACTTTATTTTGAAAAAAAATGGCTTGAAAAATAACCCGTAAATCGGGGATTCAAAGTCGTTAATTTCTTCCAACAGGCAAATTATTTTCCTCGGACACGAAATCGCTTTTGCGACGTCTGCGCGCCGCTCGAAATGCGGTGAAGGTTCGTCCCGCTTTTCATCGAATGCCGATCGACAAAACCGCGTGTCGCGGTCGTTCCTGACCTCGCAACCTCGCTCGCGTTTGCAAAGCGAAAGATAATCGGCTAACGTTAGCCGTCTCTCTTTCTTTCGTTTGCCGCGTCTCCCGCGCGTGCTCGGTCACTCGATTAATGGAATCTCGTTCGATTAATGGAAAGATTGTTGCGACACGCCAGCGAGTGCAACAATAATTCTCGCACGATAATTGCGCCTCGCGCCCGGTTATGTAAGTTTCGTTCCTCAACTTGTCCGCTCGCAGATATCGACGACGGCGGCGGCGACGCCGCCGCCACGCCGGGAGACGGCCGGCCGATCGCGCGATTTGGATTTAGATTTGGTAATTTGTAGACGGAAATGAATGGACGAACTTGGGCTAGTCCGTGTCTAAATTAACTCCGCGCCAGATGGCAGATAGTTTAGACGCCGCGCCCGCCGGGGTCGTTCGGGTGACGTAAGGAGTGATGTCGCTTCGTCGATCGCTCGCATGATCTTCCATCTGAAGATGCTGAAGTTTAACTCTTTTTTTGCGCTGTCAACAAACAAGATAAATCATATAAAGGCTTTATACGAATAAATTTTGATCATTTGGACGATCTCTTCGTGATATATCAAAAAAAAGCGAGCTGTATCATCAAGCGTCTAAAACATATTTAAAGATCGGCATTTTTCAACGCCGATTCAATCCTCCCCCGCCCTTGCTCCCCATGTACAGGTGTATAACCCAATCGAGCAGCGGTTATACACGCGACGCAAAACAAAAAAAAAGGAAGAACAGCGAAAAGACAAAAAGAAACTCAAGCAGTCTCTCGTTACGCTTGTGTTGCAGACTGAGGATGTCCTCAAAGAGGAAGTCGCCACCAACGAAGCTATCGGAGGGCGGGGGCGGTGCGGGTACAGTGGCAGGCGCCAACGAGGAGGAGGAGGACACCTCGCCGGTGGCCGGTTCCGGTGGCGAGGCAGCCGTCGTCGTCGGTGAGGAGGGTGCCGCCACCCCCGTCGACATCGAGGAGTGCTATTCCCATCAGAGAGGCGGCGAGTGCGAGTCGTCCGGCTGTTCGTCGCCGGCGACGACCAGCGAGCCGGATCTGCGCGACTCGCCGTCGCCCTCGTTGAATTCCCTGCGTACAGCCAAGCGGCAGAGGCTGCTGTTCCTATCGAGCCAGGAGACCCTCGCGCCTTACCACCACCCCCATCATCATCACCATCACCACCACCATCACCATCACCACACGAACACGTCGTCGTCGTCGGGCGGTGTATTGGAACCGGCGAGTTCCTCGGAGTGCGGCTCGCCACCTACCCTCCTCTCCGTCGACTCCTACTACCCTCATCATCCTCATCACAACAACAACAATAACACCGTCACGCAAAACAACAATAACAACAACAACAACAACAACGGCAGCGGCACCGTCGCCGCGGGCAGCAAGAGATCCATGGACGACGTTCTCAAAAGATTAACGTGCAAGATGAACAGCGAGTCCTTGTCTATCCAGGACGACACCACCAATACCAGGCGGACGTCACCGCCGCTGTCTTCCACACCAACTGGCCACAATGCGCATAGGTTAGTCCAGGTGATATCAAATACTAAGATAGAAAATTGGGCAAACGGAGCTCTTGTACGGAGCTTCGTTCTATTTCAAATTGTCCGAAATGGGACAATTAAAAAAAAGAATTTATTACTTGATTTTAATGAACGAAAGTAAAATTAATTCAGTAGTTCTTTTGCAAAATATTCGAATAATAGTTAATTTGCTCGCGTATGATCTATGATATCTAATAAAAAATATTCTCATAGTTATTTTTATTGGAATAAATACGAAAAATGCTTTTGGAATTTTCGGTGCTGTTTAATGGATCTTTCTAATTGTCACTTTAGGATTCGTGGCCCTCTTTCGCTTAATATTGGTCTGATTGCTATTAATGCGGTCAGGAAGTATCTGCTGAATGGTAGGAAATGAGAGCAGTTCACTGTCGAGAACTTCTTCCCATTTTCCCGATCGTTCCGACTCCGCGACGATTAATGTGTTGCAGATTCCGCGTCTCTCTCGATAATCGTCTCTCTTACGCAACTTGTGTATGCTATTTTAATTATTCTATGTCGACATTGTAAAACATTGTAACAGTGCACTATGGCCAATATCACACTGTTGCAATATCTGCAGTATAATGCGCCACCGTGTCGCCGAGGTTATCATATCTCTCCCACTTACATAACTGATTAATATAGTATAATGGCAAATCGGAGGCACAGATGTAGGTTTTTACAAGTTACGAATGAATTTTTGCTTGTGAAACTTGGTTGCCGTCGGCTGTAATTGAAGCATACAAATATTTATTTGATTTTTATCTTGCTTTTATAATGAGGTATTAATTGCGATGCTATTGCAAATATCGTTGTTTATCGGCCAGATATCTCGATATCACGGTTAGTGATCAAAATCACAGTAAAATTTAACATATGTAGCGCTGATGTTATTTCAGCAATTTAATAGCAAGATTTAGTAATTTAATAGCATACTAATTTTTACTCGGTGAGAATTTTGATACATTTTTAATTAAATAAATATATATCTTAAAAAATATTAGTTAAAATTTCTCTATAAAAATAATTAAATCAATGAAAATTTAATGTTTAGAAAAACTCTTGAGGAGAAAAAACCTTCGAATTTCGTCTGTAGAATCATTGATATTTTTACGAATATAGCTTACTATGTGACATTTCATATTCTTCATCATCCGATGTTATCACCGGAAATTAGACCGGCAGCTATAATTTTGTTTCCTGAAAGAAAAGACCACTGTGTCGTTTCTTGCTTCAATATTCTCAAGGCCTAGTATCTCGAATACGGTAACACATGCAGCTAATGAACAGGCAGGGCTTAAAAGGGACTATTGTCCCGAAACCATGAGGTCAACCTAGCGGTCTTTTGAAACTGATCTCTATTACCATACATTCAGTTGACAATAACCAGTAGCCCAAGAACAACAGAAAGAAGTATAATGAATGCGGTAAAACATAGTTCAATGGCCGCTATCAAATAAAAGAAATTAATTTCTGCAATCTACCGATAACTAAATAATTTTATTTTCTATTTCATTACATTAAAAATTAACAATTTTTAATAATCGTTTCATTTTCTAATTTCCGAAAAAGTTTATATTAACTTAATTGTGGAACGATTATATGTTTCTCGTTGATTTTAAAAGTTTTTTAACGCATAACGAAGAATATTTTTATTTTCCATCGGAACGGATAGTTTATTTTAGCCAACTCTGCAATACTTAAATTATGCATTACGTATCCCGAAAAAATCTGCAACATGTGTGCAAATGAATAAAACAATCGTTTGCCTTTCAAACGATTGCTTTGCATCAATAATATCGTAATTGCTCTACATAGATAATCAGATCTGTCAATGAATTGATTCGTTGTGTCGAGGTAATGACGATATCGCATAATTTTTATTTCCCATTTTACTAGCAAATTGCTCATACAATATACTAGTCGTATAAAGTTGAAAATACAAGTATAAACTGTTTGCGCGTAGCTAATTGCGATCCTTGGTGTGTTATAGACGATCGCACGATAACGCTGCTATAAATTTACGCGTGCTTTTTGTTTCCTCTTTATGCCGCAATACTATCAATACATGCATTTTTTTTTATCGCGATATTGGATCTAGGAATAGATAATTTAAGTGTTTATGCAAATTGTTTGTGGCACAGTCACAAATTATAACACACTTCCTATTTTCCGTTTCTGTTTTCGCAGCCACTGAGCTGTCATTAATGACAACAAAAAAAAAAAATACGTATCTAGTCCGCTATTACGACATCAGATTTGCGTGGAATAATACGTGACAAAATTACACGGAAAATAACAATGTAATAGCGGAATTCTCTGCAAAAAGTGTCTTCCCTCGAGCTACATAATGTGCAACGCAATGTCTTACGTTGTCGTGGAGTCATTGAAAGTAAACGAGTGAGCTTGGCAACGTGGAGAAGCGGTAGCACAGAACTGTGCCAGTCTGCTGCCCACATCGAGTAGACGGCGGGCCAAAATTCTTCAAAAATTCAGCCAACAGTACAACTTGCACTTACGTTGACGTCCACCTTCTTTTTGGAGCGCGTTCAACTTGACTTCGCGTACATCGAAATAACATGGATTCGATTTAAAAATATACGGCCAACGGCTCACGATGTTGTTATCACGATATAATTGTACAGTATCCGCGCGCAAACACTTAATACCATTCGATTCGTTTCCGGGATAATTTCATCAATTTATTCTACGAACGCACTAGAGACGTGAATCATTAACAGATTAATTTTCTATTCAGTTCGCGCGAAGATAACTCCGATGTCAAGGGTTAAGAACCCGGCGCGGCCAAGTACATAGTGTATCAAATTCGCTCAAATTTGCTCCCGAACATTCGGACGTACAGACAGCTGTAACAACATTATTATATAAAGCGTCTCAAATCCGTACGTCATATATGCACTACTGACGTATCGCGTGCGAATCGTATTATGAGCGCGCGCAAAGCATTCGGAGATACGAGTGACTAGCGAGTAGAGTTATAGGGTGGACAGAAATATCGAGCATTACATTAAGCTCTCAGCTACTCTAAATATAGTCGGTATTGGATAAAAATCCGTGGAATAACCGTCGCATTATGAACTGGCGATAACTTCGATACATAAAAACCCTCTGATATTTTGGGCGATGGAGAGATAAAAATTTTCATCGACAGTCAGTTTAATAGTGTAACGCTGTTAAAACGCGGATAACCGACCAAAGTTATAAAAATGCAGGCTGAATTTTTGGAAAGTCAGAATATGGAAATGCAGCGGTTATATATGCAAATGCATTATTAAACTTATTGAGTTTTATTCAATAGATCATAAAATAGATGCGTTCTATTTTGTGAATTAAAATTTTTTTAAATCGGGTAAAAAGATTGATAGATAAATAATTTAGCAATTTATATGCGCATTACAGGATAATAGTTTAATAATCGAATGATTGGCATTTCTAGACATCTAATTATCAATATCTATATTTAATAATATGAGCCGTATAATTTTGATGAATTTACTACTATAAATCGAACGAGTCTTCCATGAAGATCTCACATGTGAGTCTTGGCGATGCAAGGTGCGAAAATCTCTTTATTCTTATTGACTTTATCTACGATCCATGTGCCGTCAATTTATCATACATTCGCGCATCCGCTAGCCTACGTACATAAAAACACGTTTGTGTGTGTGTGTGTGTGTGTGTAGAGAGTAACACAAAAGAGACGAGGCGACCATTTATCTTGGCTCGCGCATGAAATTAAGCCCTTCGAGTGTCTTAGCGTGCGATAATAATAACAGGGGAAAATCTTTCTTCTTATTTCTGAAGGCAGCAAGCACGAACGAAATCCGTCGCCGAGTCATATCATTATCAGGCTAAAGAAAGTCCGCGTGGAATTAAAGCCTTTCGCGAAGCCGGATGCGCGCTTTCGCTAACTGCCGACTGAATAAGAGAGTTAAACGCTCGGAAAGTATTCAAATAATACACTCTGTTTAATTTCAACGAAGTACTTATCTCTCAAACTAAGTAAAGGTTCAGTTCTTATATTCTATATGTTTTTCATTTAAACGCATAAAACCGGAAACAAAATTATAAAAATAATATGATCTGACATAATGTTGCAATATTGCTCTTAGCTTTGTCGCTTCACATCATTTATGTATATCGTAATGTAACATTAATCGTTGACCCTGTGAAGAGCTGTGCTGAAGCCCGCTGAGTGATGCTGGCCTATATTTCGCGTAGTGTGAGCTTTCTTCATAGTCAACGTCGTCACCCTCGTCGTCCTCGCTCGCACAGACTTTGTCCGAGCGGTGGCCGCCCAGGCGTTGCACAATAAGCCTGTATCACTTATTCGCGGTCCATTTTCTCCGACATAAAGGCGCACAAGCTCGAGGCTGGTTCCGGGCGGGTGCTCGAGGGCCGGGAAACGGACGGAGGGAACAGGGGGGGATTGATGCGTCCCATCATGGACGCAAACACTCGCTTCGCCCGTGATTGCGCGGCCGCGGCTCATCTATTATTCACCTGGCTTCCAGCATCGCGTACACGACCGCTACCATCCGGTTTCAACCTAATGCATTGGAGGCTGTCTTTCTCTCGCCCTAGGAACGTCTTTTCATCGACGTATATTTCTGCTCGACAGCGTTTTAAAAAAATTTTTTTTATTTAAAAAATTGTAATTATATCGACGATAAAAAATTATATATAATTTGTTACTAATAATAATAATAAATACATATGTTAAAACATAATTGCTCTTGATAAGACATATAATTGGCTTTTAATAATGATAAATAATTATTTACTATACATTTATTATATATAAAGCAGAAAAGTTTTATTAAATATAAAATTAAATTTATAGATACGGCAAGTTTTTATCGTGAGCATTGTTGTCGCCATACTTCGGCTTTTATCTTAGATTATAGTATTAAATCTTTTTATATGTATTCGTCATGCTTATTTTAATTATACTTTTCAAGCAGTTGAATTTTTGAGAAGCTTTAAAAAGCAAATTTCTATCTCTCTTCTTTCGTTATTGAACGAAATTGACCGTGATTCAATTACGTGTGTTACAGTGGAGGTACGACCACCGTGGCAAATAACGTGGCTCTCTCACCCCCGGATGCCGGAAGGATACCAAACACGGACGCGCAGGTACAACAGGACGGCGTAGCGGCCCTTCATAGGGTCCTATGCGCCGAGAGTTTCGCCGAGAAGGAGCGTCAACTATCGGAGATGATCCTACAGCTGCAATTGATCAGAGAGCAATTGCTGCAACAACAGGATCAGTCAAAGGTAAGCAATTTTCCGTTTATGACACTCGCATAGGCATCATAAACATTGGATTATTATAAAGCTATACATATATCAAATATCTCGGATTTTTTCGGATTTTTTGCAAAATTTAAAATTAATTTTAACATCGAAGCATCGAAATAGATTCTGCTATAATAAATTTCGATTATAAGCGACCAAAAATTTAAGAATGATTAAAAATTAAACTACAGGAAAATGCAAAGGGGTAATCAAACTGTTCAAGAAAATAGAAAAGTCCTGCGGAATCTGAGATATCAAATATATTATTAGGAAATGCGTTTGAAGTAGGAAGTAGAGGATTGGAATGACAGAAAAGTCGCGTATTATGATAGGTAACGATAAAATTCTAGTGTACTGTGACAGGTGCATGATTCGATCAACTTGTCCAATTACGTCATACTACGCGAGATATCTTTTACGGCCAATGGGAGAAAAAAAAAGAATGCGTATCGTGCGCGGCCATAACGGTGACGAAATAGAGAACGACAGATCGAACTGTGTGTCTCAATAAATCGCCAGTTAATGCATGTTGATTGACGAGGGAAAGTGCATCGATTACCGTGGCATTATAATTACGCGGTTGAATCGCGGTCGTGCAGATATCACAAGCAACAGCAGAAAAATGAAAAACCCGAGTTTCCTCGACGCGATGATTGGTATGCCGTTACGACCAGTTTCCGTTTAAAAAGACAGATAAATCGCACGATAAAGTATGCACGACCGGCGACTCGACTAGAGAATTGTAGAATAATTGATAATGTTTCGCGCCGCTATGCCACTCTACGAATAATTTTAAAAAATCCACGCGCGTTCCCGCGCTATCGGAATGTTATGCCGTATTCTTCCGCTTAAAAGCATCTCCGCGATGTTTCTTGACAATAACGTCGAGACCTCTCTTCGCGATATTACCGTACTAATAGCGGCGAGTCCATTGCACCTCCGCGAGTAACAGTACACCTTTGATGCGCCTGCATCACGCCAGAGCGCAATTCGCGACCGCGCCGTCAGACGCGAGCGTCGAGGCACAATGAGATCTCATTGAAATCGCTCCGGCCTGTATCGGATTCGATGAACGCGTCGAGAGATTAGTATCGCGGCGATGACTCGCGATGCATCGCGCGGCCTCAGAAAGCGCGGGTCATCGCGTGGCCGTGCCGCAACCACGCCGTGCGGCCACCGCCGCTCGAAGGAATCGCGGGAGACCGGAGGAACCTGTCTGCCCGCAAAAATGCGAGCGCGTGCAGATAATGCCTGACGTGTATTACCGTTATTATGCCAGTCATTTACGTGCTGTGGAAACGATGTTTCTTCCCCGATGTCCCGCTAAATTCACCCGCCGGCGAAATTCTACGAATGCATTCGCGTAAATGTCCGTCATGTACGCACGGCAGGTAGAGAGGCCCACATATCTGAACATTAATATACGGAATTCGGGAGCGGTAACAACATCCGTGGCGTATAAGCATCACGAGATATTCTTCAGATCCCGCGGGCGGTCTGTCGCGATTCACAAGAAAGAACACGACGTCAAGTGCTGACACATTTTCAATTACATCAATATGCAAGCGAAAGAAGCAGAGATGCATACAATTCGCTTTCGAGTGACATGTACCATTGCATTTCATTATTGAAATTATTGCTTTTCTTTCTTTACGATAAATTGCCGTTTATCCTGATAAGTGAATATCGATTTTTTTAATACGAAATTTACTTCATACAAAATACTTTATATAATACTTACATAAAATACTTCATATAAAATATTGACACTGTGCTTTTGCAGAATTATATTTAGTAATATTTACGAATCGTTTACGTGTAAGAACGCCGGTTAATGTCGTTATACAATTTGCTCTGCGAGAGAAAGAGAAATAGGGAGAGAGAGAGAGAGAGACAGTCAACGGAATCGGGAGTCGTTACGATCGTCCGCAATTGCACCAATAATTGAAACCTGCAATTGGAGTAACATGTAACTACTAGAAATGTTTTAACGATAGAGATGAAGGATAAGGAAAATGTGTGATAAAATGAGTTTTCCGGTAATATGTGTGACAACCGTGTTTTGATATTTCCTGTTGGAGTGATTGTTACTCTATAATTTTATGTCGCTGTAATTATAATATTGTCGGACGAAGAATTGACCTGCTAAGTGGTTGTTGAGTAGACCAGACAGCTTCTGGAATGCGAAATAATTTTCCAAGTCTCAAATTTCTTAACCGACATTTAATTGCACAACAAATGAAATACCGATCGTATGATTGATCAAAATATATATAGACGAATAACCGATTTAGAAAAAAATCTTAAGGAAAAAGATTGATTCGATCGCTCCTTACGAGGACGTCTCGAACGAGGGTCCTCTAGGGTGAAGAACGTTCTCTCATCCGCCATTTCATCGGCGCGTAGTGAAAACGCGTTTGTCGGCGGCGTTTGCGCGCCGGGCGCCTCGAGTTGAAGCGGAAGTGCAGCGGAGGCGCCGCGGACGAGAGGGAGAGGAGGAAGAGGAAGAGAGGAAAGAAGAGACACGGAAAAAAAGACGCGGGGGGTGCGAGAGGAGAGCTTAGGAGCAACCGTGCAAGATAGATAGGAGCGAGAGCGCGCGAGAAAGAGGTAGGTGGAGTAAAAAGGCGACAAGAGAGACAGAGAAACGAGAAAACGTAGGAGGAAGGCGGTAGTCTCGATGTTCTCCTCCTCTTGGGTCGCGGAGGGCGTATAGTAATGTTCGAGTTGGCAGACTCGGGGTCGAGTGGGGGCCTCCCTCTCCCTCTGTTCCTCTCTCTTTCTCTCTCCCTCTCGCTTGTCCTCTCCTCCCGTTGTGTCTCTCTCTATCTCCATCTCTTTCTATTACCTTTCCACCTGTTATGCGACGCCGTGCCATGCTGCGTTGGCACAGGTGTGCGCGACCGCGTAGCCGGCGACAGAAACCCGCATGCTCTCCTCTGTCTCCTCAGTCTCTAGCCTTCCCTTCTCCCCGACCTTTCTCTACCACCTTTCCGCGTCCCTCTCTCTCTCCCTCTGTATTCCGCGCGTCGCCGACTCGACTCCTGTCTTTCCCGGCGAACGAGCAGGCCGATCGCGCGTGGGCGGCGAGGATCGCGTTCCCCTCTACCCTGAGGCGCTTTCACGGTCCTATCTATACGTTCGGTTGCACCTGCAGCAGGGGTAACACTGTCACGCCCAGTAGTTCGATCACAGCCGACCTGCTGCACGCCAGACTTTCTCCCTCAGACGCATTCTTTTACCTAATGCAGCATCGGCAACGGGAAAATCGCATATTATACACGATTCTTTTTTATTATTACCGCCAACATGTGATTTTTCGAACAAACGATAATGAATTACGTAACGTATTGTCTTGCAAAAGAAAATTATTCACGAGCGAACAAAAGAGTCGAAAAGTTCTTCATTCTTGATCAAAAACTTTGAGTATATTCACGGACACCGGCATCAGTCTTTTTGCGAACGAAATTGAGCCCCTTCCCCCGCAGGCGTACGTAAAAAGCAAATTATCTCCTCTGGCAGACGCGTATATTTCTCTGAAATAAATTTTCGTTCCCCATAAATTACCAACTTGCCAAACACGCGACGCAGCTGCGCGTGAAATTAGTACATTAACACATTTCACCGTACTACTTTTATATATTTTAATAAGAATTACGGTTAGCATATTACCAATGAAATATCTACACACATACAGACGCGTGTGAAAATCTTTACGTATGATTCGAGAAAAAAATCCCTGAAAAATATTATTTATTTATTTACATTTTATCTGAACAGTTTGTTTATCTAAATAATCTTGTGACGGCCGACATGTTTTGCGAAATTTTGTTTGATTATTTTAATGCTATCTTCCTGCACTAGTTTGAATATTATTATATTGCTCGCGTAAAAACGCATTTAACGAATTATCTTTATATGCATACCTCGTAACAAAGTGTGCTTTAAAAATATGATCTTTGAGGAAGATTAACGACTAGAATATATAATAAGCATTCATAAAAAAAAAAGCACCACGATTGGAATTTGCATACTGAGAAATGAATAATGTGACGTAATTATATTCGCGAAAGTTATTCGTTAAGTAATTCATTCCGGAAAATATATCATTATATATATATATATATATATGTAAGTGCCTGCGATTCTCGATTATTAATCATTTGTATTTAATATCTTCGTCAATAATTTAAATCGGCGGCAATGGAGCGATTTGTTAAATAAAAATATATTAGCGAGTACATAATTCGCAGTGCCGATAAATGATATTTCTTAGCAAACGTACAACAAAATTTTCAAACTATTTTGCTATATTATTATATGCAAAATATCCACGTATTTGCGTATACACATATCTCCGGACGACAATATCGTTAATACGCGCTACAACATGGTCCACAAAGGCGGGGCGAAACCGTACGGGGGCACCGCGTTTCGCGCATCAGGAGCGACAGAGGCACGAGGGGTGGCCGGTATTCGGCGCGGGGCGAGCGTGCGCTGCCGGTAGCATGTGTATACGTTCATATCCGTTTGTCCATTTGCGTATCGGCCGGCGCTTTATGGGAATTAGCAGCGCATTGTGGGTCGTCGGTGGGCGGGCTGTGTGTGCATCGGTGCAAGAGACACGACCGCAGCCACGGCCGCCACCCCCGCGATCCGGCGGCAACAGCGGCGGCGGGGCTCGCGTCGGGACAGTCGAAGGGGGATGGCGCGAGATGAAAAGAGAGGTGGGCGAGGGACACAACGGCTATGGATAGAGGAAATAAGAGAGAATTGCCGTGACCCGGCGGGACGGAGGGAGAGATGATTCTCTCTCTGCACCACTGTTTGTCAATACGCGAGCGATATGATCACCAAGTATAATCACCGGCGGACCCGAGAGAGCGCGCCTGGGCTTTCTGTCAATAGAATGCTACTTTGTGACCTCCCGCGCGCCATCGACCCCGCGTTCTCTTCCCTCCCTCCCGCCGCCCGGCCGC